ATTCGTTATCTTTGAGGCCGCCGGCTACAGCCCACTTCGGGAATGGGCTCGAGTGGGCAGTGGGCATGAGCAAGTCAGTGCAGGGGGACAGGAAGCGTCGACGCTGGCGTTGTGGCGGATATATCTTGCTGGAGGGGGGGTGTAGGCACTGCTCTCGGGTTAAGTAAGCGGCCCTATGGTGCAGGGTGGTACTGCTGGCACTGCTTCCTTCCTTTGAGTGACAATGGCGAGGGAACTTTCCCCGAAGGCTGGCATGACGGATGGTGGTATGCACCCATTGTTATGTTTCGATGATAATAGAATAGAGGTCATGTGAATGTGGGGAGACAAAGGCTTGAGACAAAGGCTAAGACAGAGGCTGAGACAGAGGCTGAGACAAAGGGCCTGTGACAAAGACCTGTGACAGGCTTGGATCGTGGCTTTGGGGGGAGGGGGTGTGATGACCGCTCGCGGTGAGCCGTCACCAGCAGCGACAATGGCGCTTGCTCGGTGGCAACGAGGGGCTTATCTGGGGAAAACAATGGCGATTGCTTGGTGGCGACATGCGTGGTGGCATGGTTTTAGGTATGGGAGGGGAGGTGCCGCGGGCTGCAGCGGGAGGTTTCGGGGGGTTGATGCTTGTTGCACCCCCGGGCGCACAACCGGAAGGCCGCAAAGTCGCCGCTACATTGGCGACGGCGTCAGCCGCTTTCGCCTGCTACCGGCTACGCGGTGCCACGTAGCGCTAGGTGGCGCTCGGCGGTGCTGACTGCTGCCCGTCGGCGGCGACAGCATGATTTACGAGCGATATGGTCAAAGCGATAACTTGCTAGAGACGGCAGCGATCGTCGAAGAGCACGGCAGTGGGTGACGATGGCGGCGAGGGGTGAGTCAAACGGGATCGGCGGTGCGCGCGCTGGCGCCAAAGGGGGAAAGTGCCGAAAATCCTTCGAAGGCCCCCGATATATCCACGGATAATCATGTCCTAAACGCGGGCGGAAGTGGTAACAATCCCGAGGCCCACCCACGACGGGGTTGTCACTTCATCCGGAACCACTACTAGTCTTGGAAGTGGCGGCGGCGGCGGCGCCGCGAGCGCCGGCGCCATGTAGCTGGGCACCAGCGATCTTGATCAAATCTTTGCGAGATGCAGAGTGCGCCTGCAATGTAGGGGGCAACCATAGCTTACCTAACGGAATGGGCGATTGGGAACGAGGGTTGCTGTGAGGCACCGCGGGTGAAACAATCGACTAAAGCGAACGACGTCGGTGAAACAAAACAATCCTGGAACACAGGGAAGAATCGGGCGGAGGTTTGCTTAATGGGGCCGAGCGGCACCCGCATCCATGTCGCTTGGTTGCGATGCGACACATCGCCGATCATCGGCAAATACGGGTGGGGCGCCGAGATATAGCCAATGATAGTTTTGCGTTCTCGACTGAAATACGGTCGGCACGTCAATTTTATGAGACGGGAGAGATGAAACAAGCGAGTGATAAAGGCTGATGAAGGCGATGATTGTTCCCTGTGGTTGTGGTGGTGATTAATGGGGGTAGCGTGGTGGTAGTGGTGGGGAGGCCACGTCACGGGAGAGAGGGCGAAAGGGATGACGCCATTTATCGCGCATGAAAAATAAGATGAAACGCAGATGCAGATGGTGGTTGGGGTCGATGAACCGCGGTTTCGTAGGAGGCCCCAATGGTTGCGGACGACCTAGTGGACAAACGGAGGCGCAAACTATGACGGTAGCCTGACTAGTAGTTTTTGACAAGTTTGGGGTTTCATGTAAAGGCTCGTTGTTAGTGTTTTTGGTGATGTCGCGGTTGTTGATTGCGAGGGGCTGTATGGTAGCGCCGCACCGCGATTGTCCGTGACCTATTCTGCCTTCGGTAATGCATGTTGCAATCGCCCATCGCGTAAGCCGCTGGTGCAGATTGGCGATGTAAACATCCGCTTAGCATATCTGGTGTTTCCCCAAGGCCATATCTGCGACAGGTCCCACTAACGCACCGATGGTCTGACCCCGTAGTCGTCACTGATGGTGTTCTCTTGAAACATCCCCACGCCACATCAGTTGGCGTCGACAACCGCCAGTGGCACAGACCGCTTAGTCAGCAGGCGATCCCCGCTGGACCATCGCGAGCGCGACACCTCCCTCGTATCTGTCTCCACCACCCGCCGTTAGGGCGCCCGTCTTTGCCTCACCCCCACCGCCGCCCCCCATAGTGTCGCTTGTCACCGTTTGCTGACAAGCGCCCAGCGCTTAGATAGGTGATGACGATTTCAACCGCACGTGGTGTAGCAGCAGCGTCTTATGCTACAGCCAAAACACACGCCTCACTCGCCAACCTATTTAAGCCACTAGACAGCGCCCATAGTTTTGGTAGGGAGTGGTCACGCGGGGTCGAGGGTGGTAACGACAAAGTATGGGTGCGACGAAGGCTGCCCTGCGACGAGGCTACTAGTATTTTAGTGAGATTTCCTCAGGGGGTGGGTGAAAGGGGGAGGATCGGAACATTTGACCAAAACTACCGATACGCCGCTCGTCGTCCTCGGATATATGTGTGTGCCCCCCACTACCCCCAGCGATTAGGCTTTTGACGTCCGGGAATACGGCCGTTGGGGGAGGCTCAGTGGGCCACAGAACGATGCACTCGTGGGGCCCCTTTCTGTGGACAGGAGAGATAAGCTTTTTCGCGGTGCCCGGACCTCGACGCCAGCAGCCTCGGAGTTCGCAAATGTCGAGCAGAGGGTATGGGGGGAGATGTGTGGTTTCTTTTTCTTTGTCTTTAAATTTATTTATTTTTTTTCTTTTTTATCTGTATATTTTTTTGTTTTTGGTCAGGTCTAAATTTTTTGTTTAGCAGGTTGTAAGTGGTGATCACTAATCACTGCTACGTTGTGTGTGTGTCGTCCCAAGTAGTGGGGCGTGTTTTTTTGTTTTTTTCCTTTGGAGTAATTTCCCTCCTGTATACAGCCCGGGAAGCATGCCCAGGTGGCTCTTACCTGGGGGAAGGAACAGGGCCTCTGAGGTACATGGCCGCACATCACCCGCCAGCGTTATTCTCTAACCTGAATCGGGGCCACGATGCGTGTGCCTTTAGTCCCAAATTGGCGGGAGCAAATTTTACCATGCACTGGGGGCTAAAGCCAGTTACATAAAGTTATTTTGAAACGAGCCACGCACCTCGTTGCCTGATTGCGGTCTAATATTTTTTGGTTCAAAAGTGTGAGCAAGAGTTAGCGGGGTGGTGTCGGGGCTGCTCACGCCCTGTGTTAAAAAATAAACTTATCTCAGGAGCCATGGCCGCCTAACCATGTTAATTTCTGCTGCCATAGTATTATCAGTACTCCGATAAAAAATACTCGTGCGCAGTTACGTATTTTCTCATCTCGCCCTTAGAGGCTAAAATACATCGCTCGATGGAAATAATTATCGTCGGCCAAAGTGGCAGCAGACACACCCGCAACGCTCCACTGCCCCCTCTATAAATACATTCGAAACGCCCCTCCGCACACCACTTGACACACCCACCACACCACCCCTTCGATACCCCGTCATATATAATGATGTTACCCTCCGTCCACGAATTGATCAAGCCGCCAATGCTGCCGCTAGACCCTTACCCAACGCTGGCGCTGGCGGCGCCGCTGTTGGCGCTGGCGCCGGCGCCGTCGCTGACGATGCTGTCCCCGTCCCACTTACTGGCCCCCGACTACTTTGGCCACCACGGGCGCCTGAACCTGGTGTTCGCCTACCCGCTGGGCCCGTTTATGACCCCTCAGCCGGCGCCGCTTAAGGCGCGGTCGCCGGGAGTTTCGTCGGCAGCGCTGTCGGCAGCGCCGGGTGCGGCGCCGATGGCGCCGTTCACCTCTCAGGGCGTCTCCACCCTGATGCCGCCGATGATGATGGCCCCCTCTTACGCTGGCGCTGGCGCCGGCTTCCCGCAACCGGCGCCGGCGCCGATGGCTCAATTTAACCACGGGGTCGGCCAGGTGCCGCCGATGATGGCGCCGCCGCCGCTGGGCCCCCAGTTCGTCACGGCGCCGCCGGCGGGGCCAGTGCAGTTCGACCCCCACTACGTGCCGCTGATGGTCACCTACAACCCCTACCTCCCCCAGGCGCTGCCGCTGTTCGCCCACTTCCCCCTCGACTACCCCGAGAAGCGCAAGGTGATCAAGCGGCGCACCCGCACCGGGTGTTTGACCTGCCGCAAGCGCCGGATCAAGTGTGACGAGCGCAAGCCCAAGTGCCACAACTGCGAGCGGCTGAAGAAAGTGTGCCTCGGCTACGAACAGCCCGGCGCTCCCCGCGGCGGCGCCTCCGTTGCCTCCGCCGCCACCAGCCCCGCCAGCCCTACCACCGGCGCCGTCGCCGAGCCGGCCAAACGCCAGCTCGTCGAGAAGATGGCGGTGGAAAACCTCCTTGCTTAATCCGCCATATGACGTTATTGGGACATTTTGACATTTTGCACGAGAGAGAGACCTTTTACTAATTAGGGTAGTTATAGAGAGCTAATGATAACGAGTTATGACAAACTTTTCGCGTGTAGCAGCGACGGTAGCGATAGTAGCCGCAAATCTCGTACCGCGCCCGCTAACAATTGGCGCTAGTTAGCTATAGTGGATCGAAAACGAGGCTAAGCCGCTAGCGCGCGGGAACTAAGACTATATCATTTAGCTACCACCCACCAATGGGAGGCCACGTAAACTCCACCCGATATTTCCTAGGCTGGTTTAGGTAGCCCCTGATAATTAATCAGCATTCCCAAGTCACAGGACCGCAGAAATACCCGTTTCATGGCCACACGGGTTTTCCCACTATGCTTAGACATTCACGTCGGTTATTTGGTGCAAGAAAAAGGCGGTGTGCACGCCCGCAACGGCCACTACCACCACTAGGGCATATGAGTGCAACATGGTAGCGCCACACGGTCGCCACACGGTCGCCACCATCTACCACTAGTCGACGTCATAGTTTAGCTACCCTGTCGTAAGCACTACCGTTTCGTGTCGACACCCTGCCCCATGTCACCCTCCCGATGTTGTTTCTGCTGCACACGCTTGCCCCAGCCCCAGGCTGCTTTGTACAGTTTACCGCCGGCGGCGTCGGCGGCTTTGTGGCACGATTACGATTCGCCCGAAGACGCTTCCCCGTAAGCGCTACGTCTTCGGCACAGCGATCGACACTTGGGGGCGGGACAGTTGCGTGTGGTGTTTGCTGCCCGCCGTTTATTGGCCGAGAGCACGATGCCGCCGATGCCGCTATTGGTATTGCGGTGTTTGGCTACGTTGGCTGCTATTGGCGATTAGTGAGTGGTGTGTGTACCATAAGCGTATCGTGCCTTGCTTAGCCCGGGTTTAGCCAAATATGGAGATGTCCATCCCAATTTAGAGCCAGTTACGATCGAATTATTGGTGGGCGCACGCCCCAGTTGCAGCAGCGTGCCAACTCCGCGCATCGACACCATAAATCACACTCACTTGTTGCCACTACCGCCCGACGCCGGCTCCCCCGGGCCGACCGCCCCCCGTACGGGGCTTAGCAACCCCCAGAAGGTAACCGAGGGAATCCTCATGCCAGCAGTCACCGTAGTTTCACCCACTAACAATGCCCTGACGCCACGTATCCCGTACACCTAGCACCTCCTACATGGCACTTCTCTACCTGGAAACGCCAAGTATTTACCCCACCACCAAGCGGTCCCGCCTCTATTTTCGCTACCTCAGGTGCTCCCACAAAGCTGCAACCCGACACTCCCCACAGATACGGTATGGTAGGCCTACACCGACGAATTCCACCCTCACAGCTACGGCGGCGCAAATGTCTTTCATTCCCTATACGACGGTGATCTCTCGAGTTGGCAGTTTCACAATATTATTCGCCCCGCCACCCAGATCAGGCAGCTTTGTGGCCGCCAAATAGCCACACTGGCGTAAACCGTTCCCGATCAAGCAGGCACCCACCCTCTCCTCGACCGCCCACGACATATACTGCAGGCGCCTCCACACCTGATAACCCCGACCCGAACAAAAACTGCAAGCACAACTCCGCCCGACGCCCTCTCGGTACCAGCTCGCGGTGCTATCTCGCTTTCTTTCTTTTTTTTTTTTTTTCAGTTGTGTATTTCATTTTCGGCGCTCGCCGCCTCTATCGTAAAACTCGTAACATGCTAGACTATGACACATTTGCTCGGGGTGTCGGCGGCGCCCTCGATCCCGGCAAGCACCGCCTCGAACGCCTCGGCAATCCGTAGATTATCCTTCACCAGCGTCTCGACAAACGGACAGTGGAGCGCCCGGGCGAGCGCCGCCCCTTCCAGCGTCAGCACCACCCGCTGCATCGAGAGGTCGCACTTGTTGCCCACCACCACCATCGGCACCCCCAGCGGGTCCTCGGTGCCCACGGCGTTGAGGATCTTGTCCCTAATAAGCTCGATGAGCTCGAACAGCTGCCTCAGCGTCACCAGGTACACGAGCATGTACCCGTGGATGCCGATGAGCTGGGACTCCTCGACCATGCTGAACTCGTCCTGTCCCGCGGTGTCGACGATCTCGAGCTCGAACGGCGCCCCGCGGAAGGTGAGCGTCTTGGTGTAGTGGGCCGAGATCGTCGGGTAGTAGTCCTCGACAAACTGGTCCTCGACATACTTGACCAGCATCAGCAGCTTGCCCACCAGCCGGGCCCCGACAATCGCGACCTTGCGGGACTTCATGGCGGTAACGTGTTCGCTCGCGCGCGCTGCTTAAAAGAGCGAGAGCATGGGAGCCGCCAGCCTCTAATGCGAAAAATAGATCAGCCTTCCAAGAGGATAACAATTACCCTTCACAATGATTAAATAAATCGTGATGACTAACTTCAAAGTCAAAGGATACATATTGATAGTATCCTACTTTCCAGTTTTCAACTCCCCAAGTGTTTGCATCGATTCATACTCCCTCTATTCCTTACTCCCTTACTACCACCGCCAGTGATCTCGGAGTTGGTAAAACTTCTCATCTCTGATTCGATTGACCTGATAATCTCGTTTTCGATTCAATTACCAAAAACTGATCCAAAAAAATGCTCGATTTCAGTACCCCGCTGCTGCATTTACCTTAGTGGTCAACACCGGCGTTCGACACGTCTTGCGAATCTTTTTCGCGTGTGCCACGATGCCCCAGTCAGGACCGTTATTAAGCGACGACGGACTCCCCCTTAATTACCTTGTCGTCATCGACGCCGGCTCCACGGGGCTGAGAGTATACGTGTACAGCTACCTCGATCCTGTCGTGTTGCAAAAAGTGCCCAAAGCGCCTAAACTGCCGAAATTGCCTCAATTGCATTATAACAAGAAATGGCACCATAAACTGAAACCGGGGCTTTCCAGCTACGCCGATTCACCCGAGGATATCCATTCCCACTTGGCGCCGCTTGTGGAGAAGGCGAAAAAGTGGATCCCCGACACTCAGCACTCCCGAACCCCTATTCTCTTACATGCCACCGCCGGGATGAGATTAGTCTCCTCAGATAAACAAGGGCCAGTGATGTCTGCTGCCTGTGAATACCTTCAACAACACCTGGGGTTCTGGCTTCCATCGTGTGAGGATCACGTCAATATCGTCGATGCCGATATTGAAGGAGTGTACGCTTGGCTCGCTATTAATCATGCTAAGGGAGCTTTTGATAACCCTGACGATCACCAACACGGCGATGGCCACACTACTTACGGTGTGCTTGATATGGGAGGAGCGCTGACCCAAATCGTGTTCCAGCCTAACTCTACGGAAACCGACCACCACCGCCAGGACTTGTTTAAGCTTGACTTAGTCAATCAAGACTCGACTCCGAGAAACTATGACCTTTACGCTCACCTGTTCTTAGGGTTTGGCATGTACCAGGCGTTGGATAAGTACGAGCAGCTCATGGACTCCAACCCCTGTTATCCTAAAGGCAAAGGCGGTCTGAGCAATTTCACCATGTGTTTGAACCTGCTTGATGCTGTGGTGCAAACTCAATGCCCTTCAACCACTACCAACTCTACTGGGTGTCTTCTTTCCGACCCTAAAGTGCCGACGCTTGATTTCGCCGTCAACCACTTTGTTGGGGTCCTGGGCTATTGGGACGCTATTGAAGGGATCATTGACCAAGATAGTGACGACGAAGGCGAATACAACTACGAAAACGTCTACAACGCCACCAGGAAAGTGTGTGACCTGCTGTGGAAACAATTGAAGAAATTGGACCTTGACATCAAGCACGACGACGATTTGGCGATGGCGTGCTTCAAACTGGCGTGGGTATTAGCATTCTTGCACCGTGGGCTTGGTTTCCCCCGGTTCGGCCTCGATACGCCGCTGAAGGACGACCAGAACTTCCGCCAGTTGGAGGTAGTGGAAGAATTGGGCGAGTTCAAGTTCTCGTGGACGCTTGGGAGAGCATTGCTCTACGCCAGCGACGAGTACGCTGCCGCTAAGGGCGAGGTTCGCGCTGGCTACGTCACTGCCAACGGCACCTTGGTGTACGGCCTGGAACAAACCGAACATAACATGCGGCCACGGTTTGAGCTGAGCCGGTGGGACTCCCCCACCCACCGCTACACCGGGTTGCTGGTGTTGGTGTTGATGTTTTTGACGCTTTTGTACGTGATGGTGGGGCGGGAGCGGCGCCAGCGGGCGGTGCAGTGGGTCAAGGCCAAATTCGGCCGCAAGCACGGCTACGTGCGGGTGGGCTCCACCGACGATTTGGAGCTTCTGCAGTTCACTGTCGAGGACAGCCCGCCGGCTTAGACATGGCCACAAAGCCAGCAGGGCCACCACAAAAGTGAAAAAAAGGTTGGTGTGACCCCGAATAACCATGACTAACTAAGACCGCCACTAGTCGGTTGTGAACCTGGTGCATCCGATTTCATCGTCATTCAAACATCGAGGGGGCGCGCCAGTTGCGAGCTATGGGCCAATTATTCCTACGAGAAACAGGCATCACGCACGCACGCTACCACCCAGGGGAGCGTTACTGATAGCTTCACCGCTGCTGTCTCCCGTAGTCGACAATGTCGGTGCCAATCGTGCATGGTTCCACCACCGGCGATTTTTAAGCTACTGTTGCGCTTTAGCGATTTATAGCCTTGGCCAGTTCAACCTTAATCGCCGGGGACGTATCGCATGGTAAAGTTGCTTAAACGAGGCGCGCGTATCGTAACCGCAGCAGGCACCCCGAATGGGGCCGGCGACCACCCCCATCCAGGGCCCACAAAACTGCGGGCGCAGTTGCTATCGGGCGGCGGGCACCCCCACCCACAAATGTCGGCGACAGTGCCGCTAGCGAGAGGCCGATGTCGCCGTGGCTGGCATCTGCGTCCACCAGAAGCTTCGCCCGCGGCTTTGTCCCCCAAGCGAACAATCGCCGCTGATGATACTGGCGCCACTCCCGAATATTATCTCAGGCGTTTCTATCCCTCCCCGAATAAACTCCATTATGTAATAGCACCCCCCTCGTCGTTTGCCCTCGTTCGCGGCAACCGAAACCATATTCACCCGCCTAGTGAGATTGGTGGGCAGCTCCGCTCGCCGTGCCTCGCTACTACCCCTCCTGCTCGCAGTTTAGATCTCCGTATACGGGTGACGCTTGGCAGTTGGCGTAGGTGTCAAAACGAGCAGCACCCCCCGATGTCGTGGTGGGCCCATTCCCATGCCGAGGTAACGATATCCCCTGCTGGCGTCACGTTTGAAAACCCTGAGCCCTGCGTTTTCCTTCGAGAAGCTTATCGAATACAAAAAATACCGGCAAAATAAGCCTCGTCGGTTAAGCCCACTTAGTAAATTCCGTTATCGCCACATGCGAATATAAGGTGCAAAACTATCGGGGCTACCCCCGTCTAGTCCAACCACAAAGGCGAAGTCCATGCTTTTGTGTAAATGTGTCCCAAAACTGTCTACTTCTGTCACGTGAAAATCCAACGCTACACTTCTCCAGACCCCTCTACCAGATTGCGTATGTTTTGTCTATGCTGTATCTATCAATTACCTCATTGTCACCACAAACTTTTCCCCCCTGGCACCTTCGCCGGCAAGCTGGGCCAACGCCGTGGGCACCGTGGCCAACCCTCCTGAAAACACCTTCGTACGCACCGGTTTCACGGTGCCGTCATCCAACAATCGCTGAGTGTGCTGAATGAATTCCAGGGCAAACTCGAAGTTCTCGTGGAATTGCTTGATCACCACTGGCTTTACTCTGTCGTTATCAATACCGCCAACAATACCACACACTTGCGGGGCGTTAGTGTGGTCAATGAGGGTGGACAACGTCTGCTTCGACACACAGTCGACGGCATAGTCGACGTTCAACGCCGCCAACGCCGCCTCCACTGCGCCCAGGTGACGGTCAATCACCTGGTCGACACCCAACGACGTGAGGTAGGCCTCGTTTTCCGTCAGCGCTACCGCGACGACGTTCGCCTGGTGGAACTTGGCCAACTGCACCAAGTAGAGCCCCACCACGGTGGCGCCGCCGTAGATCAAAAGAGTCTTGCCCGCAAGGTTTTCGTCGTAGCCAATGGCAAACGTGTTGTACAAGATGACCCCGGCAGTGGTGAGGCCGACGCCGATCGACGCCCCCAGCAGCACCGAGAGCGAGTGGGGGAGCTTCCAGAGCAAGCGCGAGTCGACGACGGTATACTCCTGGAACGTCAGCGTCGTCAAGTCCCGGTAGCTGGTGCTCAGCACCACCACAAGCTCGTGGAGAGGGATCACCAGCTTCAGCCCAGCAGCGACAACGACACCACTCAGCTCGCGCCCGTTGATCCAGGGGAAGCTATAAATGGCGAACTTGTACAGCTTCAGCTTCCAGTCGACGGGGTTGACACCCACAGCAAGATTTTTCACCACCACGTGGTGCTCCAGCGGTAAAGCTGGCACGGGCACCTCGTGGATGGCGAGGGGCTCGTCGAACGCCGTCACCACCACCGCCTTCTGCAGCGAGGCGAACGTCGTGGGAGTAGGTTGAGCCAACGCTAACATGTCTCCTGGTATCGGGGTTGCCAGGCCGGATCCGGCACCCAGCTATCCTTTATATCGGGCCGGCAACTGTGGCAGCTGTGGCGGTGACCGCCACACTCCCAGTGAAAAATTCTGATTTATTAGCGGCACACACACATCCACTGTCTTGGCAACCACCACCAAGATTAGGGGTGGTATCAATAAAGATTATGGTGGCAGGAATTAGTGTTTTTATCTTCACTTTCTTTGATAGTGAGCACAATTGAAATGGCACAATTTCCAGGTAAATTAACAAGCGATGTATGAGTAACACGCTTGCCCGCCTCTAGTTATTCCGATAAAGCCAGTTCATTGGCTAGTTCACCCGCAAAGGCGGGCTGCCTGTTGTTTAACCTCTTCCTGGTTGTTGGTTGCGAGCCCTCGCCACATTCATAAACAAGAAAACCCGTCCCTTTCTGTGGTGGTGCGAGTCACGTGAAGTACCCTCAACTTCCTATTCGGGATTGTGGCACCTCTAGTCAATAAATCACAAGCGTTTTTGCTGCGTATATTCAGCAGGGTACTTTCAGGGGAGTTATAATTACAAGATGCTCGAGATGGAAAGGCCTATTTGTGCCACTTTTGAAACGCAAGACAGGCGTTGACGCCGCCAAAGCCAAACGAGTTACACAACGCCGTGGTGATATCGGCGTGTACTGCGGTGGTGGGATAATTGAAAACAAACTGCAGCATGTCGTCACCGCTGTGGGTGCCTGGGGCGATGCAGTTGATTGTCGGCGGCACCGTCTGGTGCTTCAACGCCATCACCGTGAACAACAGCTCCACTGCCCCCGCTGCCCCTAGTAAGTGGCCCATTGCCGCCTTATTTGAGCCGACAAAGAGCTTCTGGTGGTCACCAAACAAGCGGTAAAGAGCGTGGTTCTCGGCGCGGTCGCCAATCACCGTCAGCGTGGCGTGGGCGTTGACGTAGTCCACCTGGTGTGGCGAGAGCCCCGCCCTATCTAGGGCCATCAGCATCGCTCTAAACGCCCCGCTGCCGTCCTCCTTGGGCGCCGTGATGTGGTGGGCGTCGCCCAGAAGCCCGTAGCCGATAATCTCGCCGTAGAAGTCGTCGTCGGTGAGCCCTCTCTGACGAGCATGATCTTCGCTCTCAATCACCAATATGCCAGCGCCTTCAGCGAGAACAAACCCCAGCCGACCACCGTCAAACGGACGCAGCGCTGCCTCCGGTTCGATATCGTCTCTAGTATTGACGGAGCGAGCCCGGGCAAACGCCAGGAGGGCAAGGGGGTGGATCAGGGCCTCGGAACCACCACAGACCATGGCGTCAGCGTAGCCCATGGTGATGAAATTGTAGGCGTCGCCAATGGCATGCGCTCCCGTAGCACACGCGGTGCTCACGGCGTGTAAAGGACCCTCAAATCCGTGGGTAATACTGATATTGCCACCAGCCATATTGGCCAAGTATTTCGGGACAAATAGCGGCGACACGCCTCGGTAGCCTTTATTTTCGTAGCCCACCAGGTTATCGTAGGCGTCCTGGAGCAGCCCGATGCCCAGCCCCACCGCTACGCCCACCCTCAGTCGGTCGACACTGTCCGGGGTCAATTGGGCGTCGCCAAGGGCTTCTGACGCTGCCATTGCGGCGTACTGGGCAAACGGAGCCAACCGTTTCAGCTGGGAGGCGCCAAATCTTTCGGTGGGGTCGTATTCGGGGACTTTGCCCACCACTTTTGACGGGATGGCATCGTAGCCAGCCAGTTTGTAATCCGGAAGGGAACGTGTGCTGACCAAGCCCAGCTCGCCGCTGACGAGTCTCTGCCACAGCTGTTTGGCACTAAGAGCGAGCGGCGTCACCGCCCCGACCCCCAGAACAACGACTCTCATAGCACTGGGCCCGTTTGGCGGGGCCGACGATGAAGTTGATCGCGGCGCGCGTGGTGCGCGGGCTCAAAACGGGGACTATGGCATCCCAAGAGACAGAGTCCAACTGATTAAGAGCAGCCACATCACTATCACTCAATTTATTGACAAATTCCTGAAGATAGGCGACTTTGGCGTTACCCTGAGGGTTATCACGCTTATACTGCTTTGAGAACGCCAGAAACTCCCTAAGCATCTCATACATTTTAGTATACAATGCCGTCTTTTGTGGAGTAGCCACGTTAAACGCATCGATCTCTTGCGTATGCTGATTGTAGAACATCAGGTAGCTGGCACACTTGTTGATTTCCTGCTTGTGGTCCCCCAAATACTCCAAATACTGGATATCATCAGGGAGTTCAAGGGTGTCATCAGCAGCGTTCGTCGATGCCAGAACCTTCTGGGCTGCCCACTGAGTGAACACTTTGTGGTGGCGTTCGGGAGGTACCGCATAGTAGGCGGGTTCGAGGGCGAGGGCCTCGATGTGGGTCTCGGAAAAGAGCAGCCACTCACTATAAGGGTCCGCCTGGAAGCGGTCCAAAAGCTCGAAGAAGTCAGCGATGGCAGCCGTGTCATCAACTTCTTCAACATTTCCCTGTTCTTGTTTAGTTTCGGCCTCTTCAGGTTGTTTTGGAAGTTGTTCTGCTTCTTCATTGTCTTCATTGTCTTCGTCACTGTCGTCGTCGCTGGAGGAGTAGCCACTGACCAAGCCTGAAGTAGCACTCACGGGAGGTTCATTCTCGTCTTCATCAGCAACCTCCTCCTTCCCCAACACTTCAGTAAGTACCAGATTGATCACATCAGTGTGCAGTGCCGCTTCCTCCTGTGTTTCCTCCGTCTCAGTCACTCCTTCCTCAATCGAGTCATCATCAGCTTTGTCCACCAGTACTAGTTCATCCTCATGCTTATCCTGTTTCAATTTCTCTTTGGGATTCCTCTCAGTAACCCTATAATGGTCGTAGCCACGCGCTTTGGCAAAGGCGGGGGCGATGGTATCGACCCCCACCAACGGTGCTAGCGACGGTGGTAACTCCCACTGAGACTCTCTTGTGGTGGTATTATAATAGAAATGGCCATCGCCATTCTTGCCAATCACCAATAGCCACGGCGAGTCCCCGAGTGCCGTAGTGGTCCAGGGTATCATGGCGGCCTATATTACCCTACCGCGAGCCGCACGATGAACTATACACAAACAGATTAGCGGGAACTACCAATCCAAACAATAACGACGCCTCTCTCTCACCTTCTCTGCCGATGTTCTGGAATGAGCAACACACAGGTCTACGGGACCCTCGGTGCAGCGGTGAGTCTGCTTTGACGCTCTACTATTATTCAGACACTCACACCACCACCACCTAGACCCTGCCGGAGTGGAAATGTACCACCGGCAGCGGTCTCGGCACCGTCCGTTGCCGAGAACTCGCCAATATCCCGCAAGATACTCCGCCAGGCACGATGACGACGATAGTGTACATGCCACATAGCCCGCCGTACGGTTTGGCTCGGCCAGCGTTTAGGCCAACAGAAATATACCCAGCCAGCCTCGCCAGTTAGACTTCATCAGCGTCGACAGGCGACCGCAGCTACAGGGAGAGGCATAAATAATTGCACCAAAATAATACCCGGCAGGCGATGCACAAAGCACAGAGGCGAAACCCACAAACCCCGGGCAGCAGGGTTCGAATTCACCCTGCTCTACATCTCGAAAGGAACGTTCACAGCCTCTGGCGAATGCACCCTGTGCATAGGGGGGGACGGTGCCCAGCACACGGGGGAGAGGCGACAAGAAAATGGCACCATTTCTCAAAGGTAATAAAACCCAACATGGAGGCAGCCTCGCCTAGCCGCGTGTGACGGGCGAATTAACGTTAGAGTATAGCCTTTACGCGAATGCTTGCGGTGAGGGGTTGCCAGGTAGTGGTGGCCGTAGGTTTGGTGCACCAATGACAGAAAACGGAACTCCGCCAAAATGGGCCGGGGGTGGAGACGGCGGGGGCCAAACCCCGAAGGGCCCTACAGGTGCCTGCGGGCCACGTTGAGGATAGCCCGCTCCACGTACCCTCTGATTATTTTCTGAACTTGATTTTTCGGGCAACAATTCCCAGGGCTAGTCAGGCCACTTCTGGGGTTACAAAACGTCCTTGAGCTCCTAAAGTTGCTTGCCGTGTCGCAAGCGCCTTCCGGCGACGTGACTGTAAACAGGGTTGAGACGAAATCCGAATATACTAGTATTTCTACGAAAGCTGGTCAACACTGTTCACTGATGGTAGGGTGCGCTTATCGGTGCGGTTGGACCCCACATCATCGCCTCGTATGCACCGGTGATGGCGGTGGCCCGCCCATACCCCACACGGGCCCTCTCGTATTCGCTCGTGGTTTTTCCGATTGCCTTATTTCTTTATCTCTGACCGCCTAAGTCATCGTGCTGAAGAGCGTTGTCGGATTTCTTCGCTTGGCACATTTCCGCACTCATAGCGTAAGCGGGATCGATTGCCCCTTTGAGCGAAATGTTGCGAAAACCCATGCGAGATAGGCTTCACCTTCCACTCACTAGACAGCACACTTTTGTGGCGATGTGCTCGACTGCTTTTTAAGCACTTTGCTGGCGGACTGATCGCCCTGGTCCCCGGAGAGTACTTCTGCAGGCAGTGGTCCTCCACTATAAAGTGCATTCTGTAAACTCATGTAAGCCCTGAGTGGAAGTAGCAAAACTTGCCGAGACGTCTAAGGAAGGTGAATACCGAATAATTGACACAATTGACGTTCACATGAAACAGAGAAAGTTTTACCGCTACTTGACTACGTCCTCGGTCCATTCACTTGTGAGGCAGTGACGGAACCAGTAACAGTACGTGCGGCTTTGGGCGTCCGGCGTAAAAAAAGAAACGGCCAGCGGCGAACTCCGAGACCACGGTATCCCGTCCCCCCCGCCTCAGCCCCGACAAAGCAAGATTATTGCCACTATGAACTAAGTGTCAGAAATGACAAATCACTCTTATCGTCTCTGTATTGTCTCAATTCGCAATAATGGAGGTGTCGCTCGAAAGGAGGGGGGGTGTCATTATGTACAATCGCGAGTGGGGGCTCGGCCCCGGGCACATGGCGGAAAGGAGGGGAGCATGTGAGAGGAGGGGAGCCGTTTATGGGCATGTGCACTAACAGCGATGACGCCATCGTCGACGACAAGCATTGCTACGTGACTGACAAGTCGTCAAACAACCTCTCTGACAACTCCTACCTCTCTGACAACCTCTCTGACAACCTCTCTGACAACTCCTCTGACAAGTCACGGACGCGTCCATCACAGTAGACAGTTTACTACTAGCGCTAGACCAAGTTAGTCTCATAGATCATGTTGTTCGTGTCATCATGTAATAAATAGCTAATAAATAATAAATAAGTTAGGGAGGCTAGCCGGCTAGCTCACGAGCATGTTCACCAGCATCTTCAACCGTTTCTGTTCCAAGTCTTCCGGGAACGGGATCGCCAACTGCTTTGGCGACGGCAACGTCACTTTCGTACCCAAACTAGAGTCGACCTTCATCGCCATGAGGAGGGGCAGCGGCGCCAGCGGCAGCAGCAGCTCCGCCAGCTCCAGCCCCAGGTCCAGCTCCAGGTCGTCCAGCCCCGGCACCGCCCCGCGCTTGTCCCGCGGGTACAGTTTGCGTATCCGCAGCACCGCGAGCTCCAGGCCCTGGTGCAAGTTTTTCGCGTGGCGCAACAAGAGGTCGCGCCGGCTGAAAGGTCGTTGGCAGATGCCACACGAGAAGGGCTTGAGCTTGTTGTGGGTCAGCAACGTGTGGCGGGTCAAGTGCTCCTCTCGGGTGAACGCCCGCAGACACTGTTTGCAGTTGTAGATGCGAGGGTTGCCCAGCGCCGTCTTGCTGCCGAAATTGGTCATCGCCCTATTGGTGGTGTGTGTTGGTGGTGAGGGGGTGGGGGGAGGGAGCTTTATAAAAGGTGGCGGTTTTTTTTTGTGGGGAATATCTGGGGTTTTAAACGTCTGTCTTTTCTTTTTCGCATCATGCAGCGCGCCTAACCGGGTGGTAACATATGGCGGGGAGAGGTCGACGGGACCCGGTGCAGGAGCAGCTCCAGGGTGGGGAGACGGCGCCGCCGGGCCCCTGTATCGGCTCCGATCGTCGCAATGACACTACTACCACCATTAACACCAGAGATAACAGAGGGAGGAGGGAAGGAGGAGGGACTAAGTAGGTGTTGATAATAGGGGGCAGCTATTCGCTCGCTTCGGTGCTCCGGGGTGCGTTTCCCCGGATAAGCTGGAATGGCCCGGGCACGATTGGCCGGTGGCTAGTAGCAGCAGCAGCGGGCGCCCCGGTGGTGTCGCTACTGCATCGGGCTTAGGGGCGTCGCTGGCGTCGGTGCCGCTCAGGCTTGCGCCGTGATTGGACGATCTCGCGGGAAAGGGGCGCGAGGAGGGGAGCCACCGGGTGCCAACACCGCCCCTCCGCCGCCGCCGCCGCCGCTGGCGTTTAGCCCTCTTGGCACCACCAGCAACGACACTAACGACAAGGGCATATACTATCAACGGCTAGCCTGTTTACGTAGCATTTACTTCGTCATGATTTTCTCCCCGCGTTTGGGCGCCCGCGATATTGTGGTCGCTTTCGTCGCTCGTCGCCTTTTTTCTTTTTGGCCTCGGGCGACAGCGCTAGCCGCGGTGAGCGCCTTCACCACGCAACCGCCGCCGGCGCCGGCGCCAATTACCCAGAAATTAGCGTAGCTCATGAGTCGATTGCTGGGCGAAGAGTGTAAGCTAGTGGCTTATGGCTTAGGGCTGCGGCTCAGTTGCCATGGGGGGCTTAGGCAAAAGCATCGGTCTATCGCCGAGGAGCGGTGGGGGGAAGGTTGCTTCCCCCGGTGACGTTCCCCTCCTGACTCGGACCTGACTCACGGGAGACCATGACTACACGGCACGCCGGGCCCCGGAGAACCCATGCTCGCAGTCGGTGGGTGTAGGTGTGGGCGTGCGCGCACCATTTGCGACGGCGAACTTCCGCCCCTCCGAAGGCTCGTCCCTATCCCGGTATCACCCGCACTCCTTCCCATAAAGGTAGGTGGTCGCCGCAGCCACCCCCCGAGCATTTCGCGCACTCTCCGTAGTTACCATTGCCACCCACTGCGACCAACTTCTTGCAGTAGCCATTGCTGTCTAAGTCGTCACCATTGCGATGATGGCGACGGTTAAGCCACTGCCACCGGATTTGGCGCTGCCGTTTCTTTTCCATGGTTTGCCCCGCCGCGACCCTTGCCACTACTCCGGCGATCCCGTCTGGGTTCCCAACACCCAACGTTCACGGAAGTACCACACTACACCCACGCTTACTGGTCTAAGCCCTTATCGGTGGGGTTGACCCCACTGGCGAAGG